CAAAGTTAATGCCCCACAAGTATCAACATTTGCGCGATGGAAAGAGTTGATTCAATCAAAATGCTATTAAGTGCTATGGCGACGCTCGATCGATAATCACATTTTTTCTACAAACCGCCTTTTAAATTGTGAGCTTTTATGCTACAGCCATAGCATCAAAGTCCTAGGACGATGGTTGAGTGCTTCGACTTCCAGACACACTCATTTCTAATACCTCGTGCCTTGGAACAAATTTTCGCAGGACCTAAGATGGATGAAAATTTGAATGTAAACTCCCTATTACCACCGTACAGGACTCCTCTAGGCGTCCCCCTTTTAGTAAGCCCCATAAGAGGGGGGGGGGAAGTATTCATTCGGTATTTTCGAATTCACTGAATTTCGCTGGAAGTTCAATCACTTAGGTACTTACTGTCCCTCTCTGCACATTCACTAATGCCAGCTAATCCTTATTGTTGATTCAGCTAATGCCAATCATACAAAGAAGCTTAGCAAGAAAGGAAATGTGTATCATTTCAAACAGATTTTGCAGAGCTTGCAAAATGAAGTAAGCCTTTTTCTCCCACTTAGTAAGTCACTCAAAGGCAATGAGCATATATATATATATATATAGAATTTGGAGGATACTTCACGAGAAAGTGGAGTTATTAAGTCCACCTCGCCGTCCTCTCTCCCAACTCTCTTTCTCTCTCTCTCTCTCTCTCACTGTGGGTGCAACCCGCAATAGACTAATTACACAGTTGGGGTTTGGCCGTGAGTTGAAGAGAAGACCCGACTTCCAATACGACGTTGAGCAAAAAAAAGAAACGGAGGAGTGGGAGATGGGAGGAGGTGGGGAAGGGAGGTAAGGACAAGGTAGTACCCAGCACTCCCTTGGGCTAGTTCAGTTAATTATTTACAGCGGTACGCCCGAATTATTTTTTTCGTGTGTGTGTGTGTGTGCACGCGCCCCGTATCGGTGGACAGTTGACATAAAAAAGTGAAGGTAACTTTGAAGGGAGGCAAAGCACTGGAGAAGCACCCCTCACCTCCCCCCCCCTTTGCAGTATTTAGTTTAGTTTAGTGAAAAGTGGGATACATTTGGTGAAAATTTACCGAGCATTTAGCAGTTGTCTCTGGGTCTTCTCGATGGCTTGAAATGGGGGCAACATATGAAAAAAAGTCCTTCCGACTCATTCTTTCCATTAACTAACTTCCTCTAGGAATGCTTCGCCAGTATAAGCTTCTACTCAACTCAAACATCCCAATTGTCTAGGTCTAAGTGGGGGAGAGGGGGGGGGGGGTGTCGGTTGAGTATGCAGACATCAAGAATCATTCCTGTAGAAATTGATTTGTCGCTAAAACGAGGAAAAAGTGATGTGTGTGTGGAATCGAATTTGGAACCACAAACTCCAACTCGAGGAGGGAGAATGCTTTCCAACATTTTCTTGAGTAGAGTAGCCTCATATTTTGATACCATACTCCTCCCACTCCAAAATCTATTGGAAGAGGTGTCTACCGCTTTTGGAGACACTACAATCTGAAGCTATTGAAAATGACAGTGACGAGAAGTTGGTAGGCAGTGAAAATTTTGTGCTACACTGCTAAATTTAAAGTGAATGGACCTTTCTACCGAAAAATTAGCTGCTAATTTAATTCAGCAATGACCAATCTGAATAAACTATTTTATTGTAAAAATTTAAATCTGGATGGAACACAATGGATCAAATAGGAGAAAAAAAAGAATTCTGGCAGAAAACTGCAATATTTGTGCTCCAAATGCGGGTCATTTAGATACAGTTGACGACAAATGGTGACAATGTCTCCATGATACCCTCCACGTCTCTAAACACATTAAATAACTTAGTTAATCAGAAATAATCGAATGTCAAATCAAATTTCACAGAAATAGCATGCTTTGATGATCTCGTGAGCTTAAAATGCCAAGAAGCGAGAAGTGCACGAAGACATCTAAAGTGACAAACATAGATTTACTGTTAAATCCAAGAGGGAACGCCTTCTCCCGTAGGGGCTCTGGAAATCCAGATGGTGAAAAGCCGACGATGATATCAAAAATAAGGTTAATCATTGCTAAATTTATGTAATCTGGCACGAAGGACTCTTTCGGGGCTTCAAATGCAGCACAAGAAGCCAATAAGCTTTGAAGTAAAGTCTATTTGCCATCATTGACACAGAATCTAGTAGTTCAATTGTATGCCCGACAATCCTCATCACCTCAAATGCTTTCAGTCTACATGCTTGCCTTAGCATCAATGAAAGCGGTAATAATTATTTGTAAAAGCGGTCCTCCTGGTTTCGAATTGAGAAAAAAAACTTGTGTGCGCCCTCGACAGCGAAAATTTCATACAACCTACCTCTGCCTTCTAATTAGGCTCTTCTAAGAAATAGATACTCATCCAGTAAAAATTGCACTCAGAGGGGAGAGGATAGCCTTATGGGGGCAGTGGAAAGAGAGGGAGATTAATCACATCCGTCACCATCAAAGCAACACACAGAGAGAGAGAGAGGGAGGGAGATGTAAGTGGAGAAAAAATCGCCTCAGAGAGGGAGAGAGCTCTATATAGCGTGACAGATATTAGATGGGGGAATGGAGATAATTGCTCAATTTAAGCTAATAAACTCCTTGCTATAAGGCATGAGATAATATCTGCATTTGTATAACATTTGCATGTCTCGGGCACACTTTATCCACCCCACCAAAAGAGAAAATCTGAAAAAAAATTAGAGGAAACATCTCGGGATAATCATTTTTATTGATACGCTTGTGCTATGGGATTAAAACAAGATAAGGAAAGACTATAGAGGCAAATTCTCCCCGTTTTCAACAATTTTATTTAAATTGAACATTTCCATTTAGAAAACATTTCTACTTATTATTGTACAAGTAGGAAGTTTATTTCAAACTCGGAATGAGAAGCATTTAAAGGCGCAAAAAAACGAAAACACTCTCAGTTTTAAGTCATGAAGAAGAAGGAAGTAATCAAATGAGGCAAATAATTATGATGAAAATTGAGAACAACAGGAGAAAAGGACCGAAGGTCTTGAGGAAAGACAAACATCTAAAAATGAAAAAAAACTCAATTAACCACCCCTTAGAGAGGCCAAAATATATCGCTTCAGGTAATTGAGAATTTCTCATTGGTGGAAATGTTAATAGTTCATTAAGAGATTTATTGCGCGAATTGTTTATTTTTTCACACGGGGAATGTGCCATAGATGACTTGGATTACGACCAGGTTCATCTAGAGCGATTAGTTAACCTCGTATCATCATATGAGAGCTAACGAGCATACATTGCTTGGCCTCGGACTCTATGGACTCCCACATCGATCGGTGTACTCAAGAGCTCCATAATCGCTTCCCGGAATCATCTGAGAAGTGCTTGTAACATTTAAACAAGCTACATTATCAACTGATAAATCATTTAAGACCAGGAGGATCAATGATTTTGCTACATTTATTTCTAACTACATCCTAACTTAACACTTTGGTAGCGACCATTAAAGTAGACATTGCGAAATGCCTCCAATAGAAGGTCAATGCTGAGTTTTTTGTGAATAAAATTACAAAGAGTACGAGCAGATGACTTTGATCAAGGAAAGAGAGGTCGGAGACAAATGACCAGAACTAATCAGCTGAGTTGGCCAACCAAATTACTGGATGTGAACCGCCGATAAGCATCGATCAAATAACCCCTTGACAAGCAATCATACACGCTGAAAATTTGATCGCTTCGATAGGCAGAAAATATATTTTATTAATCGCGGGGTGTGCGATAGACTTACCTCCACGTGGTGCACCCTGGGCTACGTATACTCATACGGTAAAAAGTCTATTAACCGGGAGTTGACTTCTCACTTCATACTACCATCACCCCACTGTATGTTATATTCGACTCCTTCCATAGTACTCATCTTACCTTATCTCCGCCATTGTGTCTGTCTGTCTGTCTCTTTTGCATCTTTGAATCACTCATCTGTGAAGCCCCAAGTATCATAAAGCCTGCCGTTTGAAATAAATAAGCAAATATTCTAATCACTGTTTCAAATTTAATGTTACGGTCGTAAAATCCTGCTATAAGTGGAGCATGCATTTGCCCAATCTCAGGTAAGAAGGCATAAAATGTAATTGGTAATGGACAACAAAAACGGAGTTTCAAATGAAACGTTCGTTCAGTAGTGGATTAACCAATGTTCTCTCCGTTTGACTAAATTGGTTAGTAATCCAATGGCGTAGTTTAATTTACAAAACTAGACTTCATTCCAAATTTTTATTGAAGGTTGACATTGCCATTGACTGAATTTAAATTAACATGCTTAAACCAAAATTTGAGATAGGAGCATATAATAAAAATGTGCACATCACGAGGGGGAAGATTAGTATGATTTCCACTTAAATGCCGTAAAAAACACTAAGAGAGAGAGAGAGATTTAAATGAATGCAACACCGTAAAATTTGCTATTTGCTTGAGTCATGTGAAAACAGCTTCAATGCAATTCGTAGGGGGTGAGGAGTAACATTCAACGTTTTTCTGCGTAAAACTAACAAAGATGTGGCGCGTGGGGTGGAGAGACCATCATTTGAAGAAAAATTGAATGAATACTCGAAAATTATTATTATTATTTCAAATGGCAGGCTTTGTGATTTTATCATTAGCCCTTTAGTTGACTTCAGCTTCCCCCAAGGGTGGGTGTGCCTTCTCGAGTGGTTTGAGAGTCACCTCCGTGGCTGTAATGAGTGGCTCACAGCAATACTCGAAAATAAGCAATATTTCATAACCACATCGCCCAAAATTAAAGCCTAAATCTCCATACCCACTTGTCTTACTTTACAAAATTTATACGAACCAGTTTGAACACTGAAGATCAGTGATGGGAGTAGTAACTTATATGGAAAATATAATGAATCAAGTTGAATGGTTATTGCACCTAAGTATTTGGGGGTGAAAGAAGAATGAGAAGGTGTCGAAATCAAAGAAGAAGAAGAAGAATAAAATGGCGAGCTCACCCGAGGAATTTACCCCGAAGGCCAATCAGCACCCCGACGGAGTACATGTTCCACGTGGTGGAACCTTTGTAGCCCATTTCATTGAGGGCGTAAGCAACATGACTGTGGCAGTTGTCGCAGCAGAGGTTGTGCTGAAAGATAATGCGAGAGAGAGAGAGAGGAATGAAATGGGAGTTAAATCAATGCAACGCGTCCTTGGGAAAGATGATATTAAAGTAGAATGTCAATGAAATAGGAATCAGAATAGAATACTAGTCTATATATATATATGGCATTGCTACCTCCAAATCACCTTTCACCTTCTGATTGCTCTCAGGGCTACATGACACTTCCTTGAGTCCATAAAAGTCGCTCAGCTGTACCAATCTCTTGGTACTCTTCTACTCATGAGTTTGGAACTTGTCGACCACCAGTGTAGCGAGGTCACCAACGGTTGTGCTTTGATGACTCTGATGATCACATCAATGAGAATTAACAAAAATAAAGTGATTCAATGCGTCTTCAGGACAATTATGCTTCCTAAACCATAAAAGAAAAGTCTCACGTATCGCCATAATCTCCCAGAAAGACACCTACAACAACTGAAAAAGAGATGGACTTAAAAACGAGTTATTCCTTTAATGTTCCATGGGCATACCACCGATTAATCAAAAAGAGCGATTTCCTAACGCCAAATGTTACGATCTCTGATGAAAGGATATTAGAGAGATTCCAAATGGACGACATCACCGCCTTAGCCCCTCTAAGCCTTCTGGTGGTACAGTGTCAATGACATTTATTTGCGTGTCACCTCACTTTCCCCAGTCCTCCCCACCGGACACCACTCGATGCCTAACGCACTTTCTTCTGCGTTTCGCCGAATTCTGCCAGGGCGGAGATAACCATGGAGCATTAGAAATCCAGAAATATTGATTTGTTCATAAAGCGTCTGAATGCATAATAGACAATGTTCGTGAATTGAAGAAGGAACATGCATATGAGCTGGTAAATACGGCTATTAAGGTCAATGATGATCATGTAAGTATACTGAAATGAATGAGTGTTCATAGAAAACCCTCCTATGTAGAATAAGATATCTTCTTGTGGATTTAGATGTACATTTATGCTTAGGAATAGAGCTAACTCTCCGAGTGAATGAGTAATAGCCTTTAATCTTAGAAGTACTAGAAAAAACGGAGGAAAAGACGCTAAAGAAGTTGATGCACCAGCCAATAGCATGACTGTCTTGCGACCCCCTTGAGAGTCAAGGCCTTGCCATGAACTTTCAAAGCAGAAAATAATAACACAAAGTTATTGAAGGAAAATGAAGAATTGTTGACAGCACGTTTGTGCAATTCCAGTTCACAAAATTTGACGTTCTTGACCTACTAACAAACGCAGTCGCATAAACAAAAAAAATGAGACTATGTTTTTTTTCTACTCAAATGCATAAAATTAATTGATACAAAACAATGTGTAACAAAGAAGACAGTAGGCGAAGAGAGTGAGGTATCTAACACCGAATGTATTGACAAGATGGTAATTATTTGCAGTTAGAACCTCCAAAGATGTTTTTTGGAAAGAAGAGCATAGGTAGATAGATAGATAGATAAGAGCATATGAAAACAATCAAAACTGACAACTGATACGTGTATAAAAGATGATACTTAAATGCATCCCCCCTGACCCCTCCCCCCCCCTCCATCCAAGAAAAGTGTCATTAAATGAATGCGCTAATAACAATTTCAGAAAAGTGGCTTAATTTAGAACAAAAGAACTTACCATTCGACCTTTGTAGACTGTGTTGGCTTCGTGCACAGATCTGTCCCAATTTGCAGCTCCACCTACTGACTCCATGTCTAATTGAAGATATCGAGTTGGCCATCCAAAAGCCATGTTGTCCTCCTGGAAACATAAAAATTCAGGTACCAAGTGAATCCTCGAAATGTATTTCAATACTATGCAATATTAGGCCTTAATAAACAAGAAAACTGGTCAACAATCTCCTATTGAAAACAATAAGAGTTGGGTAAGAAAAAATTGAACGTCATCAGACAACAAGGCTCTATTCAGTAGAATTTACTATGATGCGAATTAAAGTTCAGAGTAATTCATTTATTTGAAGGAGTATTTAAAATTTCTGCATTTAAAATGTCAAATGGGAAAGTTATGGCTGAATGTAATAAACATACACTGATATAATATGGTCCAGCAAAATCGTATATGACACCTTTGGAATTCGTAATACCAATATGACCAATAAGTGGAAACAGCCATCTATAAAACAACTGATAGTCATTTGTTGAGAAAATTTACGTGATAACTGGGAGAGGTGTCCAAACTAGACTGTGCGGATAACGGTGGATACGATCAATAATTTTGTCGTTAGTAGAAGACATTTCAACAGCTGGAGTATCTTGCAAATTTTCACTTTCCATCAATCTAAAAAAAGATATAATAGGAAGAGTAATTCAAATATAAAAAAACGATGGTTAGACCCTTTAGGGAAATGACATATCCGAAAATGGTGGTGCATTTAAAGTTTTGAAATAGACATATTAGTAAAAACTGATAACTTACCTATGAAACATTAAAAAATAAGTAAACAGCAAAAGTAGATGCAGTTAGCTAAGATAGCTATTGGTCAAGAAAGGAACAGACAAAAAGTTGCCAATCAGATTATTCATAAAATGGACTTTTAAGTTTCAAGAATATATTATTACATGATATAAATGTTATTAAAGGCGTCATATAAAAATTCTAAAATAGACTGTGAGTAGTAAAATTGCAGACCAAATGACTAAATGGACTTTTGCTACCATAAGTAATACATTTTGCAAGTAAAAGAAATATATTTCATGATTATTAGAGGATAACATCTTTTGAAAATGAAAACTATCTATGGGTGGAGGTCGTACGTTAATTGGTTCATCTTGTAGCTATCTTTTTAATTGAGTGTGTAGTAGGTTTGACGCGTAATTATTATTTGCAGTCTCATTATATTTTCTACCTTTTAAGATACTTCATGTTAGTAGATTAAATTTTACTATAGCTATTGATGTATCCACCTAACCGGACATGGAATAATGGCAACAGCCATCGAAGAGGGGTTCTTACAGAGGATAACGAAGCGCTGGCCAGTGAGCTCTGTGTAAAAGTTGATTTACTGAAGGAACTTTCTAAGAATATTGGCCAAGAAGTTCGAGAGCAAAACGGATTTCTCGATGGCTCTCTTTCGGATATGCTTACACGGTCGGAAAACGGTATTCGGAGAGCCCTTACTCGTGTTGGCATTATAAAACGGGACCAGGGATATTGTGGTTTGGGTCTTTATTGTCAACTTTTCCTTTTTGCTTTTCTATTTTTCTTCCTCTGTTGGTTACTCCTTAAATTTGGACGGTGATTTTTATTATTTCCTAATACAATACATTAATTATTTTGTGAAACTAACTTCTTTTTCACTTTTTCTTGGGAAATATTTTGATCTTATTTTCAAATTTAGGCAGATTCTGAATTACCAACATATCAGCCGGCTCGTCGCCTGCGTTTAACTATAATAACATTTTCTCTCTTTGTATTGTTGATTATCGTTCTTGATGCTTTCATTAATTGGAATTCCAAACGGGATGAAGACAATTTTCAATATGAAATAGCTTCTTCTGAAGAGTATGTAAAATGTTTTATTAAATTATTGTAGTATATCTTCATCAAGCATTATTTGATTTCCCTCTATTAGGCGCCTTCAAAGTGGGTATGCACAGTTTTATCTTTTACATGAACCCGCGTCCTTTTGGGTTCAAGTTACCCCCCACGAACGAGATGTGGATTTATATGTTGTAGCAAATGAGGATTTAAATTACTTTAAGGAACGCCTACCCCGATTGAAAAGTCTTCTTACTTCATCAACTAAAGGAGTAAGTCAGTCAGCCTTTTTAGAGCGATATTACTGTTTGGTGATGTAAGATTGATTTGATAGACAGACACAGTTTACTGCCACTCAGTCAGTTTGGCGTCATTTTGATTCACGAATCAAGCATCATTCATTTATTCATTCTTTGAAACTGGAAGAAGTTAGAGGGTTTTCTAACAGGACACAGACCTTGGTACACAGAAGACATTAGTTCCTTTTTTCCTTGGATTATTGAAAGTCTGAACGATCAACTTCACTATCCTTCTCTTAGACTTCATACGATATGCTCCGTTGTCCTTTGTATTTGGTCAATTACTAACCTTCAATTCGTAGAAATATATTGGAAAGGTGTCTGTGCAAAGGTGAATAACCTTAAACAAATCTAACTTTGTTTATATAGTGAAACTAATCTATATTTTCTCATTTTTCCTCAGATCAAAGGCGCTGATTCCAAATCACTGATCTACAAATTGGATCCTCCACAAACCTGGGAGACTATTGCCCCTCCTGACGTAATTGAATCCAATAGGAGTCACTTAGAGAATGCTTCAAACACAATGTACTGGTCTAGCGGCCCAACCTTCACCATCTCTTCGTCCGGACTCGGGGTGGAAGTAGTTTACGTCTCCAAAGCCCTCGAAAGACCTCTTTTGTTAATTGTGTTTGCTCCTTCTGGGGGCTTTTTCGTGAAATCAGCTGAACCTTCTAAAGGATCAGAGGATAGCCAATACCACCACTATACTATTCAGGTACTTGTGGATGCCAATTTATGTCATTAAAAAGTATACTTACTTTCTATATGCACCAATAGATACGTAGCTGTAAGCCACAAAATATATTCTTTTATCTATGGAGATTCGTTTGAATAGTTTAGTGTTTGGAATAGCCAATCTCGCTTGTAAAACACTAATTTGCTGTGAATCGTTCAACAAAGCATGCATATTTAAGAGATTTTCTACATTAGGCAAATACCAAGTTTCCTATTCTAAGACCTCAGAGGTGTTTCGTTATCCCTTAGAGCAACAACTAACCTGACTCTTACGGTATCTCCAATGTTTTTTTTTAAGTCCTGATATTTATCCAACAGTTCTTGTGTTTATGAATATTTTTTTGATGTTGCTATGACAAATCCTTCTCAGCATTTTATCCCATTTGATTTCTTTCTCTTCGATGTCTCCTGTTTGTAAATCCTCTTGTTTCTATCTATCGTATTCTAGTTTTTTTAAGATTTTCAGCGGCTAGAAATCGTTAATATGAATATTCTTGGGTCAGAAAACTATGTTCTCACCATCTTCTATGATACTAGTCTTCCAGAAGTTGGTCATCCGGGAAGTATACGAAACCGAGGTACGGTTGTCTTTGGTTAAGCCTATCTCCTTAAACCCGTATTAGTTTCTTTTCAAGGACTGAATCGGAAATTAGATTTATTTTAATATCTGATATTTTATGATATTCACGATCGTAACGAAAGAACCATCGTTTTGCCATTTCGAAGGTTAGAGTTTCTCTTGGAACACATCAAGTGTATTCTGGGGCACTTGTGCTGTTAGGAGTGTTTCTAACAGGTTAGAATCGTATTTCAAGAAGCTAAACAATTGGAATACCACTGATCTCCTCTTGTTCCTATGGTAAATTTAAATGAAAATCAAAAATAAATCCCTGATTGGCATTTCAGATATTTGAATCAAGCGAGGAAGTAACTTCGACCTATGAATCAGTTCGAGCAGAGGCAGAGAAAAGAAGTCTTTCTTACGACCAACTTGCTTCAATGCACTCGACTATACGCGAGAAAGATGATCGAATGTATAAAGGCAATTTCAAACCGTCTCACAGTTTGCCAAAGTCACCGATCCAGACTGGAAAGGAAGAGGAAAGACGCAGGGAGACCGATCATAAGGAAGGAAACACAGAGAGGATCAGCTTGACGAAATTCTTTCTCTACGAATTCCTTGAAATATTGTTGAACGCTATTATTTGATGCAAAGGGGGTTTTTTTATAATTTACTAATGATTTTGTAACTATTAGCATTGTTTTACATAGAGATTACTTAATTTAGTGAAATATGACCTTTTTTCAAATTGGGGGTGGATGCGATAATGCTACATTCAATTCTCTATGCTAAGTTATTATGCTTACATAGGGATATTCATATGAATACTCGATAAATTCATAAATTAAGAATTTCTTTCTCGCATGATGACAGTGTTCAAGTTTGAAAAGGCTCATCTGTACTAGAGTCGCAGAATAGGACAACATTTACTGAATAGCCAATCATATTCTCACAGGCTTTTATACTTGAATCATTTTTAAATAAACTGAATGGCTTCACATTCCAGTAAGGTTAATCGATGCATTTACTTAAGCAACTAAGATTGCTTTATTAACTTCCAAACTAAATAGCGAGGCAGTTATTATGGAATAATATTCTCAATCCCACATGCTTCATAAACATCGAAATGTAGTTCACTAAACCGACATTCTTAGTCGTAAAGACGGTCATTTTCAAAAGTAGGAGCCAACTGAAGTGATTAGGTAGCAATGACGATTTTATGTGCTACCTAAGATCTGTAGCGGATTGCTACGCTAGTAAAGCCTGACCGACTCAAAAATCTCTGTGGCAAATTCTCCAACATCTAGCTAGACTCCCAGAACCAGCTAAGCTATAGCCCAGCTATAAAGGAAACAGACGTGTAGCACGGAGCACGTTCGTTCAGTACGAGTATTGCGGATAGTGTACACGCTGGGAGCTTAATCATGATCAGAATGGCGGATTAGGTTAAACAAACAGAGGTTAATGATTGGTCACTGTTTGTAC